TTAGTTGTGAAATTAGGAAAACTGCGTTAATGCGTAGTTTACTACTACAGGTTTTTTTTGGCAGACTTTTGGTGATTTCGCCTATCGAAGATCGGCACGAACTTTCCGGACGACCTAATCCATTAAATCTATTCACTTCCTGATTATATTNTTATGAAGGAAATAAACTAAGTTATAGTTATAAAATGTCTGGTATCTTCCACATCCTTCCAAACACTAAAATATTTACACAGTTGTCCACTTCCGAGACTGTATTTTCCAAGAGGTAGTCTAACAAATGCTGAGAAAACAATCTTACTCAAAAATATATTCATATTTTGATCTGGTTGAAAGACGCTTTCTTGAAGATTATTATGTTTTTATATATGTGTTGTAATTATTTACACACTATGTGTGGTGATCTTTTATAATTATTCTTATCATTCAAAGAGGTGAATGGACATACGTGAGTTTCGCTATCACTTTAAATATGAAAATAAATGAGCAGCTATGTAGTTTTGTAACATTTCTCTTATTCTTCTGTAGGTCGACACTTGAGAGTAATTTCCCTTTTTACTTTCTTAAAGGGAAAGGTACAATTATTTTTAAAAATATAATTATTCTGTTGGAAGATAACGGTGGGGTGCAGCCAGTAAAGAATGATGATGTTCTCGAATGTCAAGACCAGAGCTTTTCCGAAGTACGCTTTACGAGAACAGCTGTTCCTTTATAAGGGGTGGAAGCATGCCTTCTCCACTGAGAAATTATTCTAGATGCATGAGTTTTAAATTTATAGTAAAATTTCCTGCTAACCTCTAAGCTTTTCGCAAAGTATTTTATCGATGGGTTGACACTTAAAAACCAAAGGTTTCGGAAGATTTGGTAAACCTGCCAACATTTTAAAAGCCTCACCGCTGAAGAGCTGAAGGGATTGGAATGACATACAATCAATTATAAGGTTTTTAAATCATTGTCAGATAGAAGGACAGATAGTATAATACAGAGAAGGACAGCACGAAGATACATCTAGGGTAACAACGGGATTCGAACCCGCTACCTTCAGTCCTTGCACAGTGTTTGGAGGCCCTGAAAAAGCTGGAAAAAAATGGAGTTGCGTATGTAGTGGTGTGAAAAATAGGTTTGGATGAATAAAAAATAAGTCATTATATATTAACTTATCTACAACTGGATTAAATTTTTACAGAAAGCGTAGAAAATTGGCATCTCTGATTGATGTATTTCTGATCTTTGGTAGAAAACTAAAATTTAATGAATATTGTCACAATTTTTTATTTTATTAACTCTATATCGGCTGAAAATAGCCGTATACCTAAATAGACGACCAGTGTGACCCTTTCTATATTTTTGACAGTAAATCTAAATTACATACCTAAAATCTCATATTGTGGTAAAAAAATATTTAATTAAATATGTACAGTTCACGAAAATAAATATATTAACTGACAATACTGAATAACTTTTGATCAAATGATGGGATCTCACGTTTTCGGACTCAATCTTTAAGATTCGAGGGGGCAATCTCAAATATGTTAATTAATTTGTGCAGACGATATTTTAAGTTACGAAATCAGACAAAAAACGTACTTTCTCTGAATAAACATACCTTATTTTTTACGTATTCGGTTTTCTTTCCCCCAAAATATAATAATAGGAATAGGGTTCCAATGGTTTGGTCAGGAGAGCGATTAAAAACTTGGACCCTCGAGAACTTTTTAAGCGAATTGAAAAAATTTTGCACACAATTAAAAAATTTGGTTATCTGAAGATATTTCCATGTAAAAAGTAACGTTTAGTAAATATTTATTATTTCCTTATTATTTATTTAAAATTAGTCGAAAAAAAAAACCTTTTTAATTCTAAAGTACACAATTTTTATATCATTTTAGAGAATGCAACTTTAATTGGCAAAATACGAAATTTGAGCGAAATCGGCCGAATAGTTTGCGAGAAATCGAATTTTGAAAAACTCGTGAAGATTCGATCATTAGATCAAAAGTCATTTAGGGTGGTCCCTTTTTTATTTTTGTCCCTGTAGTAGAGGTCTGATCATTGGAATTTAATGAATTTTTTTTTATCCATTTGAATAACAAAAATGTCTGATAAAGGGGAGTTTTTTCAATTAAGTTTAGTTGTTCAGGTAATTGAATTTTTACCCTTTATTGACACGTTGAACGCCACGCTAATTTTACATAGCTTGCCCATCTGGCTACGGTAAATAACTACAAACTAAATTTGCAAATATTAGACGGATTTTGCTATTTTTTTAGAAGGTTTATCATTACATATTTGTCTTTCTTTCTTTATTTAAATCAAGCTGGGTGCCTGGGCCTCGCAGCGGCCCCTAACCCATTCATCATGAAATAATTTACATTGTTTGAAAACATTTTATATTATGCAACATTGTGGTGGCAAGATTAAAAAGACAGGAAATAAGAAAAAAGAAAATATAAAAGGAACAGAAATCACAGGCATTGTTTGCAGATTACATATTTGTCAGTTCTATTGGAATATGTTATTTAATAATTTTTACAGTAGGTTTCTAGATTTTAATAATAATGAATTTTTTAAAGTTCTGTTAAATGTTCAGAGTTTGTGTTTTTGATTTTCAGCTGCTCAGAATAGACTGCAAGATGACACATGAGATTGATGTAGCTCCGGATGCATTGGAAAGTTGATGATTTTTACTGCGATCGATGATGCTGTGCACTATGCTGTTTCTAATGATTTGACGATATGCTGAAAGGATGGATGATTCTGATGATATTTAGAATAAGTGATATCAGTTGGGGTCGAACCTGGGATCTTTGTGGTTGTATGCGGGTGCTTTATCCATTCGGCTATGACTGTTTACTTCTATTTCTGTTGCTGATGATGAAATGAGGCATCAGATGTATATAGAAGGCTGCAATAGGTCGGAGATGGCAATCTTTTTTATAATTTTCATAGGATAGGATCTGGTTGAAGTTGGCTGTTTGGCATTTTTGTAGAAATCTGCATTTAATTTGTTGATGTATTCGGAGAGGAGAGGAATTTTGAGGTCTTGATGGATATTTTTTATTTCTAATGAACCAACGGGCGCGGGTGATTTTTCTGAGTATTTTGTTTTGGTATTGATTTAGTTTTTTCATTAGATGTGCCGGTATTGTTGCAGGCGAAGTATAAGGTAAAATAGGCCGGATCATACTGGTATAGAGGAGTTTTCGTAGATTTAAGGATATGTTTGGATTTTGTATAAGTGGTTGAATAATATTTGCTGCTGCTATTGCTGTTATATGTTTAATGTGGTCTGCCCAGGAGAGTTTATTTCTAAACCAAGATATGCAGCTTTCTTTACAATTGGAATGGGGGTATTGAATAGTTTCGGTTTGGCTGGATTTTTATTCTTCGTTTTTGAAAGATAAGGATTGGTGATTTTTCTGCGTTGAATGCTGTTTTCCATTTCCTGCACCAGTTTTCGACCTCTAGTAATTGATCCTGTAGTTTTACTAGGGCTAAGTTGGGGTTGCGTGATTTGATTATAATTCCAGTATCATCTGCGTAGTAGTCTGTTATGCTGTTGTAGATGACATATTTGACAAAAGTGGTGAATCATATAAGCCTACGAATTATGTAGAAATAGTGGTGGATAAAAATCCACTAAATTGAACTTATTAAGCCAAGAATCACAATAATTAAGTAAATTTTGAATAAATTTTCTGCAATTCCATAAAAGAATGTAAATTTTATAGTTCTATATCTTGTTATACGCTGTCAGCCAGCTGTTTTTCGCGGCCTATGTGAAAGGTCAGTGTCAGCAAGCTGTGGCAGACGCAGCCTAAATGTAATTTCAGTGTCAGCCACCGGTGGTTGACGCGGTCTAAATGGAAAGTCCAGTGTCAGCCACCGATGGCTGACGCAGCACTCAACGTGTTAAAGAAGGAAAATTATTATAGATATAGTATTAAAATAAATCACACTATTTTTCAATTAATGCAACTGCAAATTTATGACACTCAACCAATTTATATTCATTTTTATTCATTCACTCATTGGATTTTTTGTGGAAATTAATTGTTGGAAGTAAATAAGGATATTTAATGCTATTGATTTTCAAACCAATTTTCTTGGAACAAAGGAGAAATTTGACTGTCAAAACAACCTTACAGAATATAATTATTGTAATTATAATTTTTTAATTCAATGTATTTGAAGAAGTTCAACTAATTCGCCCAATATTGAAATCCACATAAATAGCTCTATCCGAAAAAATTCAGGTTCCTGAAGAATATAGATGGCAGCACTTTATTTGATTATTAATGATTAAAAGTTTGTGATCTCTTTTTCATGTTTTTCGAAAGAATTCAGCTAGTAAAAACGAAGAAATAAAAAACTTTAAAAAGAAGAAGTAAAAAACTTTAAAGATCTGGCAATTTATATTTTATTTTATTTTGATTTGGTTAATCTAAGTATGTGTAACTACAGGTATGTCTTTATTTCTTACACGTAGACGTGTTCTTGTGAGTATTTTCAGTGTACTTTTGAGTTGTGTATTTTTGTGTGAATTTTTGATTGCATTTTCTTATTTAGTTTATCCATTATGGGGCCTCGGGGCACAGTCAGTTTTTGGTTTAATCACTGACAACAGAAAGACTTCTTCTGTGTTAGCCGACAGTGTGTCCCCTGATGAAGCGCTGTTTTTGCTAACATACGTACCTTAAAAATTCGCTTTTGGTTGTTTTCAGTTTCTCACTTTTTTATTTAAATTGTTTACATAAGACACATTTGGTTTTAACTGCTTTTAGCGCTTTTCCATTTTGATTTATTATTTTAAAGTTTTTTTCCTTAAAATTTGCTTAAATCAATTTCATACTTTGATTAGAACTCAAGTTAGTTAGTTTTTTTTCTTTTTTTAAAAAAAAAAAAAATTCTTTTGGATAAGTATCAGCTTTGTTGCAATTGAACATTTCTTTTTTTGTTGATTTTATTCGTGTATTGTAGTTAGTGAAAGAAAGAGAGACAAGAAAGGAGGGTCAGAAGTTTATTACAAGACGTTGTCCGTTGAGGAACTGCCACCTGTGGTGTTTGCCGATATCGATCATGAGATGTGAATAAGATAAATGTTCATGCCTCCACAACACTCTGTACTTCACTGTGTTGAGACCATCTCTCGACGAACGCTTCTTCGCCATCCTCAACAACGCCGACCTGCAACAACAACTCATTTCATGGAAGGATTCTGAAAAATATGCTCATGGAATACCAGTTCAGAGAAATAAGAGAAAGGATTCTGAATGCTTAGAATCCGTGCATGTTTGGGATATTTGTACCATAAAGTAAGCGAAATGATTTTGAATATTCAGAATACGTGCATGCATTAAGCATTAGAGTCACGAAATAAATTAAAAACATTCTGAATAATTTTAAACACAAAAACTGTGTAACAAGATTTTACGCACTGTACACCACAGTCAAACCTCTTCACTCCATTTTTTGCGCAGCTATAGATCATGTTCGCATAAATAACAACCATTGGACTATAAATGTTGGCATTATCTTCAATTCTGTCACCAAAAATTTGCACTATTGCTCGTTGTTCTGCTTTGGGCGCTTCCATTTCTTGTCAAAATCATTATTAGGTAAATTAGAATACATTATTAAGCCAACGAGACGGAAAAATGGCCCTTGTGAAGGCTTTTTTATGAAATGAACCCACATTTGCGTTACATAGCGAGGAAAACCACGAAAACCTCCCACGATTAGCCTGAAAAGAGACTCAAACCCGTCACCGTCTACTACTGAGGATACTTTACGTCAGCACGATCGTCAGTGCGAACCGTGTGTAAGATTCGTATCGAGATTTGAACACGGTTCACTTCATTGGGAGGCGAGCGCTCTATCCTCTGATCCACCACGCCTCCCAAGCAAACATTTTCGCGTTGAAGACCACTCCGAGTCGGGCCGAAAGTCAGGCGCATGGAGGAGAGTTCCTGCTTTTCAACTTATCGTTGGAGAGAGTGGTGTTCTTAACTTCAGTCATGATGTTCATTTCCCAACTTTTTTTTTCCAGGCTCGTGAAGTCACGAGGACTGCCTGTTTTCAGTCAGCGAGTCAATGGAATGTTAGAAAAGAGGAACTGATAGAAACAAATGCAATAAAGAATAAAATGTATCACCTGATGGCGTTTGGAGATTCAGGTCTGTGTTCATGCTTGATCATGGAGTATCTGGCGAGTGCTTCTGGAGGTCGAATGATATCCAACTTTCGGAACCGTATCCTATAAAAAAAGGGAATAAAAATAAACCTGAACTGTAAAAAATTTTAGTGTACCTTCACACAAGTGACGGAAAGCTACTTTACACCAAAATGGGTGCTGTAAAACAGATATAATTCTTGGTGTCATAAAAATAAACCCAGGTGTCGTAAAACACCAGGGATGTTCCTTCATATCACACTATTTTTATGTAAAGTAGTTGTCACCATTTTTGGTTTTCACTAACATTTATGTTTGTAATAACAATAAGATGTAATACACATAAAAACAGTAACATTTACGGAGCAATTAAAAGTAAGAACAGTTAGTTCAGAACGCAGGAAAATACATATTCCGCAATTTTTTTATTTTCTTATTATTTAATTTAACAACGAGTCAAACAGTTTTATCGTCATTCCACTATTGCTTATTTTCTTGTTTAATTCAACAACGAGGGAAGCAGTTTTATCATAATTATACAGTTTTATAACAGTTCCATCGCTTACTTTCTTATTATTTAATTCAACAAGGAGTGAAACAGCTTTATCTGAATTCCTCTATTGTTTATTTTCTTTTTATTTAGTTCAAGATGGACTGTAATATGTTTTATCGTAACAAATTAAAAAAACTTAATCCGCGGTAAACTCTTTTTGGAATTGAAATATTTTCATTGAAATAAATCATAAAAATATCTGTATTGCTAGACTGAAATCGGAAACCTTAACTTATTAAGCGCATTTGGTGTGTTTACAGTCGGACCAAATCTCTATTGCAGTGTGTATGACGTGTACATTCGTCGTGCAGCCATTGATTATCAGAACTCGAAATATCAATGAAATACAATAAAAATATCATTTGGCGATATGTTTCCTTCGTATTATTACCAACAAAATTGCCAAGTATTTCATAGTGCGGACACAGTAAGGGAAAAAATACATAATTCCTTATTTTAATGATGAAATAAAGGCTGTTCCCAAACCTTGTATATTGAATAGTATAATATTAAAATAATCATAATAGTAGAAAACGACTTTGATTGACTTAATACTTAGAATTTAGCTGAAGAACATAAAAATTGTGGTGAAAGAAATTCAGATCAATGTAGAAAATAATTCTGTTTGCATTTTCATCTCAAAGGTCCCGTTTATTCTTTGCTATGACATATTACAAATTTTGTATATGCATAATATAACTTTTTCTATGACTAATTCCTCAATACCAAAAGCTTGACACCGGAATCTGTTTAAATATTTTTTATATTTTTAAAAGATCCGTTAAAAATGTTTGCTTTTAACACCTAGTTTTTTAGGAAGTATATTTGAGTCCTTATTGCAGAATCTTTTATGGGTGATATACAAGTGATGGAAATGGTTAGATATAAAAACAAAAACAAATTTTGTGATAGCAGCTTTCTCAATGGTAGAGGTATTTCGCTCATTAATACTGAGAGCAGGTTTTAAAACTTTATGTGAAAAATATATGTTTTCTCGTATGATTCTCGAATGCACAACATACACAAACATGTTTCTGCAAATTTAATTTAAATAAAACACTACATTTATTACTCTTTTTAAGTTTTGAAATTTAAATGTTATGTAAATATTTTGTTAAGGATTGCTGGCTTAGTACATGGTAACTTTAATATAATCATGGAATAGTTAAACATTTCTGTGGGTGCCTTTGTGTTCTGTTTCAGGATTTCTATTAGGTAAAATATCTGATACTAAAGAAAATAAAGCCATGTAAGTATTTCACAATTTAATTTCAGTGAAAAAAGAATAGAAAGAAATCTTAGAGAAGTAATTTGGTTATATTTAAATTATTTTCTTTATTATCACAATTATTGCAAAGAATGGCAAATTAAAAATTCAAACGATAATTTTATTTTAATACCAGATAAATCTTTAAGAAAGAGCTTAAATTTTACTTTATGGAAACAAATAATGATTTATAGCTATGTTTCTAGATGATAGATAAAATTATTTCCTTTAAAGTTAAAAATTTTCATTCAATTAAATGAAAGTGTTCAAGAGTAACAGTCAACAGTGCGCAGGCGTCCTCACTCTATCATCCGAACTGTAGGTTAGAATTTCTGATTCTTTAAATGAATTCTACAAAAACTTCGTTTAAATGAGGAAATTCTCTTTTATTTACAACTTGAGAAACATTTTATAGGATCTCCCTGGTCCCATATCTCAAAAATTCACTCACCAACCCAATGCACAATTATAAAAAAAAAGTAAAAAAGAAAGAGGATTTTAAAAAAATGATCAAACAGCAGCGGTCGCCCTAGCAACGCATACAATCACGACCCATGCGCTCTGTTTACTGTTACTCCTGAACAGAAAGTATAACTTCATGACTAAATAGTGAAATTTTTATTATTCAATTTTATAATGCAAATAAAAATAACTAGAGTTAATAACTTTTATTAAATATGTTTCCTAAATCAACAGGATCCATTGAAATTTTGATAAAACAGGCTGATTTCTAAGAGAAAAATATTGGAATGGATTGAAATGAATTGGAGAGAGAGAGTTACCTGTATGCCATATCATCGTCTTCACCCCCCCAACCCCAGTACAGGTTAGAGTATCCGTTCACTGCCAGGTAGTGTTCCAGTTTGATGGAAAATACTCCTCCTACCAGTAATGCGTACGGTAATCTGTGTGTACAAAAAAGCATGATACATTTAGAGTGTTTAGATAACATAAATTAATTAAAGATTTCACACAGACATTTAATGGAATTCCTATTGACTATCAGGTTAAGTATGAATTGTGATTATATCCTCCAACATTTGAGGTTTAACTAAAGTATTTTTTACTGCGAATTGAATGAGAAAATTTTACTTAATACTTAAATTAGAATTTAAGAGCCTGACCATTTATCGATACGATCCTTTATATACATGTTTCAATCATTTTTATCTATAGGACCCTTTATATACATGTTTCAAATATCTTTATTTATTTAACCTTTTATGTATATGTTCCAATCATTTTTATCCATATGACCCTTTATGTATATGTTTCAATTATTTTTATCTATATGACCCCTTAGAGATATGTTTCAATCATTCAATCATTTTTATCTGTCCTTTATGCATATGTTTCAACCATTTTCATGTAACGATGGGCAACATTTTTGAAATTCTTATTTATTATAATAAAACGTGAGTTATTTATTATAATAAAAAATTTACTTTTGCTAACCTCATGAAATGTAGTTTCTGAAATTTAGAAAATTCCGTAGTATATATATCCGTAGTATATCATATTTTAAAATAAGGTATTAAACTTTGCTGAAACTGTTCATTATAAATTGGATTTTATTTCATTTGACTTGGTTTTATCTCATTTAATTAATCTTAAAAAACCTGTTATAAAACTTGCACAGCAATGTACTGTTGTATTTATCCATGAAAACTTTTATAACCTCGCATCTCTTAGATGTATCGACTTGGGTGGGATCTTTATTCGATTTAACTTTTTTAAAAATGCATAAAAAAAAAAAAAATGTCACTTGTCTACATAACAAAGTTTACTTTTTTCTCTTCCCCCAGTAAATTCTAGAATGAGATTGCAGTTCACCTCAGGAAGGTGTTAATTTCAGATATTCATATGGCGCCTAAATCACATTTTTAAAACTATGTACGGGGCCTGGATAGCCAGGTTGGTAGGGCTTTGGGCCTATGTGCAAGGAGTCGTGAGTTCGATCCCCACCGGCTGAGGACTCCTTGTGTAGCAAATGGTGATTGGTGCACGTTAAATGTGTGAAGTGACAAAGTCCTCCATGTTCCCATAACAAATCATACCTCTAGTAGTACTGAATTGGAGATGGATCGTTCTGTGGTTCAGGTCAAAATTACGATCTGTGGGTGAATGAAAGCGTGAATGGATCCACCCTATAAACGGGATGGGACGTATGTGTGTGGCAGAAGTCAAATTAATGGACATAGATGGCGCCACTGGTAAACAAAAAGTAGCGCACTCCTTCACTTTAACGGCATATGACAACAACATCAACAAAACAATGCACGGCATTCCCAGAACTATTCCTGTATTCAGTGACTCGAGCATGGGTCTCAAATTTTAGGGCTTTATTATAAAAAGTTCAATCAGTAACCATAGCTCTTACTCATTGATAATGTTTTAGTTATACTTGAGGCTTTTTTTCCCTGCTAATTTCACATTTGTCTAGTTTAGGCGGATGCAGTTAATGATCTTTGAATTTTCTGCAAAATGTTAATTTCCTGCTACTTTAAGCTCAATTTTAAGGTCATGCCAAATATACACAACACAGATGTCTATTGTTTTATCATTTGTCATTGATATGCATGCAATAAGAAATACATAACATTATATTTCACTACCAATACTAATCGATTTTGATGAAAAATATCCCTTTTTTCGCAGATTTTTGAATGACTTTTTGCCCTTGATCCAAAGGTCCACAGAAAATATTTATGTCTAAATAGTTAGAGGGCAGTAGTACATCATAAAACAATGATAAGTGTTGCGATTCACTAGTTTAAGGAAAAGAATCGCCTCTTGTAAATTGATGTGTTTTTCTCAAAATTTCGGAAAATTTCATATCTGCATTTTTGACACCCCAAAACTTCGATAAATGTTTTTCTCAAAATTAAAACAAAAACATGTTTAATGATTTTGCATGACTTTACCAAATATATTCTAAAAGTTTCAACGAAATCAAATATCCAACCCAGTATCTGGCCTTTTCTGCTTCTTCTTCTTCAAAAAAAAAAAGAAAAAAAAAGAAAGAAAACTGACTCTTAAATCCTAATGAGAGAGCTACCACCCAAAATCAATTGCCAATCTTTACATTGCCTTACACCTATAAACTGACAACGCTTTTCATAGAATTTGGCTATTGCTTACGCAACTGGTATTCACTGTTATCTCTGTTCCCAGTTCTACTTGTTCTTAAAATGGTAGAAGAATAAAAATGAAGAGAAATAAGAATTAACAGTTCTAATGAAGCGGCACTTTTATTTTTAACCTTCGTGTAAAAAGTGTTCTGCTGTCGAATTAATCATTAAGAGTTATATTTTATATACCGGTGTTGAACAGCCGACCTAATTCTGAGTTTACGACGATGTTTAGTTACAGAGATGTTCAACTTCGTAGTCTTGGGTCATTTTGAACAGAGTACCGAAGAGAAAGGAACTTCCTGCATCAAGCATTGGGACAAACAAACAAGTTTTCGTGGAGGATTTGATCGAAATAACCCTCATTTGTGCTATAGGGAGAGGAAAACTATGGAAACCTCCAACGGTTAGCCTGTTGTCAAAGAGATTCTAACCCATGATCCGTCTACCACTGAGGATATTTTCCGTCAGTATTGTCGTCGGTGTGTGCCGGAAGCAGAATTAGAATCGACCCATCGACTTTGAGATCGAACCCGAGTCAGCTCATTGGGAGGCGAGCGTTCTATCCCCTGAGCCACAATGGCACATCATCAAAAATTTGTTAAATACATAAAAAAGATTGAAAATAAAAAATTTAGCTACAAATCCAAGGAAGCTGTGATGGATAGAGCGTTCGCCTTCCAATGAGGTGAAAAGGGTTCGAATCCGAATTCCGCATTCATACGAATTCCCCACCCGGCTGGCACCGATCACAGTGCGGATGTTAAATTATCCTCAGTGGTAGACGAATCATGGGTTAGCGTCCCGTTGCCATCAGACTAACCTTGCAAGGTTTTCGTGTTTTTCCTCTTCATATAACGCAAATACGGGTTAGTTCCATCAAAAAGTCCTCCACGAAGGAAAATTTCTCCCAGTACTTGATACAGGAGTTTCCTTGTCTTCTGGATTAGGTTAAAAATGACAAGGCAACGGAGATCATGAGAGGAAATAAACACAAAAAAATTGGGTCGGCTGTTCCAAGAGGGGGTATATAGAAATCAAAATAATACTGACGTGTAGTTGAATTTGTCGACGGCTACTGATAGGTGACGTGGTGAGGGTGGACAGGTGTAAAGGTTTCTGTCATCCTCCGGTATCATGTCGACATCATGGAAGACGAAACATTGGAAGTCAGAATCTTTCAGAGCCTCACGCACTCCTGCGTTCATCAGCACACCTTTGTTGAATGTATCATTTCCCCACTATATCAACATTTAACTTCAATTATTTCATTAATGTACAAACTATTAATATCTTTAATTTTATAAATATAATGTATCACATTAGTTTCAGTCACTTAAAAAGTTCATCCTCTTCTCTGCAGAAGCAACACCTCTTAGAAACGAGGATTGGTTATTCTAAGAGGAAATTACTGTCATTGAATCAAAAATACTGATTTGTTTAGAAAAATTCATTTCGACATCATTTCAATTTCTTTTTAGTGGAAAAAATCATTCGCCAAAACGCAATTTTATTTGCCAAATCGCATTTGGAGAGGTGGTGAATGCTAAGGGTATCAACACCTCCCAGAAAAGAGAAGGCCTCATCACGGGTTACCATGAACAAGAAATTTGATCCTTAAGTAGCCCAAGCATATGATATCTTTTGTATTTTTCCCCACTGCGAAGCTTAGTAGCCCTAGCGTAGTGGCATTTTTCGTATTTGCCATCCACTGCGCAGTTTATCTGCTAGATTGATTCGTGCTGAGGTCTTCTTTCTTCTCGGAGGTGTTGATTGAAGTATAAATGCGAATATTTAAAAAAAAATATTTCACTGTTCCTATTTTACTGTTATAATAAGAGAAGCAAAATATGAATTATACTTATAATTTGAGGCACATATAAGCATGCCTTAAGTAGGAACAAACAACCACATTGTTATATTATGGTCAATGTAAATACTGTGTGACGTAGTGTGGGTTTCTCGATCCTGATGGGTTGTTGAAACGTGGCATTTGTTTACGCTAGCCACTGTTCTTTCCATTCTATTTCGAGTAAACCATGCCCGTCAAGCATCAATGCTCCTAAGTGACACGTTCTAAATTCTATCACAAAGATTCTTTCTCTAATATTTCAATTCTTTGACTAAAGATTTACACGGAGACTTATCACAAATATAGGCACGAAGGCATTTGGAACATACACAAACTAGTTAGACCTCGAAGTTGCCAGGAGGTACACAAAACAAAAATATATCACGGTTACAATAAATTACGTAAACAAATAATAAATATCTAAGTTAAGTAAAAGAATTATATTTCAACTAATTTAGTGTGCGATAGGCACTGTATTTAATTATCGTTCATTAACATTCTAACTTTTGTGAAAAAACTTAGCTCAAATTTAATGCTCCAAATTAGGAAAAAATTAAAGTTATTAAATGATTTAATGCATTTTAACATAAAACAATTAATTAAATACACATAAAAATATTACTAAATAGATATAAAATTAAATACTCATAATACAGCATGATTTCATTTGACTACTACGCTGTCATAAATATCGCCATATATGCACATCCGTGTATACCTACATGTTCCTAAATGTATTTTTTTATTATTATATATTAAGTAAATACAAGTCTATACTTGCTCAAATGTTTTGTTATTTTTACCCGTATGCTTTGTTCAATTATGGTTTGCAAAATTGTATTACTTTTCATGTATTAAATCTTATTTTATCATGTATTTTCCTGCATCAAATCTTACTTTATCATATATTTTCATGCATTAGATCTTATTTTATCTTGTACTTTCATACATTAAATCACATTTTCTAACGTGTTTTCAAGCATTAAATCTTATTTTATCATGTATTTTCATGTATTAAATCTTACTTTATCATATATTTTCATGCATTAGATCTTATTTTATCATGTACTTTCATACATTAAATTTCATTTTCTAACGTTTTTTCAAGTATTAAATCTTATTTACTACTTTTCATAGATTATATTAAATCTTATCTTTGATATTTTAATTTCAATTGGGGTTTCGGAACACGAATAGCACAGTTTTGTTTTATTAAACAGTTATTCACAAAAAAAGTTCTCACGTGAATGCTTGCAGGGAACACTCAGATGAAGTCCTATATTGCATTTATGTTAAATAAACTATTTATTAAACTATTATTAATATTTAAATAAATGATTTCAATTTAATTTCTATGTTTATTTCAAGTTAACTACAACTTTCTAATCTTTGTATAAAGTTGTGTTTTTTTTCAGATACCCCTTGTATAATTATAACATAATTTAAATCGCCATGAAGACAAATTATAAACAAACTTTTACGAAAATGCTTCCCTCAATCTATTTCCTATTTTTGTAGTAGATGTTACAGTGAATGACCGAAATCAAGCGAATGTCGACATTCACCGGTGAATGTCAACAGTCACATCATCGCTTTGGTGAATGTCCGAAATATTTGCTGTTATACATCCGATTTGATATTCATTTATTCGTTGATATTATTATATTTATTCGATATTCTTAATATCTGCTGAGGATAGATTAGGAGAAACATGAGTGTTCGGAGTACCGGTTAAATGCATACTGGGCACTTGACCCTAAAAAAAACATTGATGTAGGGCATACCGGGCAGTGGCACATAACTAGACCTNTGTCTATTTCAAGTTAATTACAACTTTCTAATCTTTTTATAAAGTTGTTTTTTTTTCAGATGCCCCTTGTACAATTTTAACATAATTTAAATGGCCATGAAGACATATTATAAACGAACTTTTACGAAAATGCTTCCCTCAATCTATTTCCTATTTTTGTAGTAGATGTTACCGTGAATGATCGAAATCAAACGAATGTCGACATTCATCGGTGAATGTCAACAATCACATCATCGCTTTGGTGAATGTCCGAAATATTTGTTGTTATACATCCGATTTGATATTCATTTATCTGTTGATATTATAATATTTATTCGATATTTTAATATCTGTTGAGGATGTTATATCTGTTAGGAGAAACATCAGTGTTCGGAGTACCGGTTGAATGCATACCGGGCACTTGTCCTTAAAAAAACATTGATGTAGGGCATACCGGGCAGTGGCACATAACAAGACCTTGTATATATTTCGGACATTTACCAAAGCGACTACGAGATGGTCAACATTCACCCGTGGAGGTCAATAACCACACATTTCTGTCATTCACAGTAACAGATTTAAAAGTCAAATGTGTCTGTAATAATTACAGAGAGAGAGAGAGAGAGAGAGATACCTGTTCAACGACGTACACCCTGTATTCCAGGAGTTGTCGCTGAAGGAGAGGGTGTAGGGTGTATAGGAGGGTGGTGAGATGTTCTAGTCTATCCCTATAAGGGATAATGATAGCTACCCTGAAGAGAGGGGCGCAGTGATGGGGCGTCCACGAGCCCCGTCCCCTCATGTAAGGGCTCCGGCGCAACAAGTCTTCGACGTCCGTCCTGTTATGGAAAGACACATCGACCCGAAGTCTGCCGGCTGCAAGAAAAAAAGAGAACGAAACTTCATACATTTATTTTAAATCATAAAGTAAAGATCCGTTATAACAGATGAAATTGTCGTTATAGCGAGATTATTATTTATAGCAAGTACACATATGACTAAATAGTCCTAAAAAACTGAAGCAGTAAGTCATCACTTGGTTTAAAACTTTATTCACTTAGAAAATATACATGAATAGGAAATAACAGTCGATGTGTTTTAAGCGCTTAAAAACAGGCGCTCATTTTCAAGACTTGCCAGACGGTAATGAGAGCTTTCTCCATGTCGTGCATTTTATATAAAAACTCCTGAAGCTTTTAAACTAAAATGTTTTAATTAATTTGTGTATGGTTTCACTCAATCCAGTGTTAGCAAAAATATATGGGAAACAATGTTTCACTTTCTTTGATATCAGATGCGTAAATAGGCACACGTACAAATTTGTATTGTTTTGTTCGTAAACCCTTATAACTTTTAAACTATTAGTCTGATGGTTTCATTCAATTTAGCGTAAAAAAATACTTATAAAAATATGTCTCTTTATTTTTCCCCTCAAATCGTCCCCCAAAAGAGGGAAGTGTACGGTGAATAGATGGGGAGTTTTCAGGTACCATTTATAAAAGTATAAAAAAGCTTTGTATTTGAAAAATTTCGGCAAACCTGCAACGGAGATTTTACTAATGACATTTCTTTGGGGGGCTACGTGTACAGTTTTGATACGTCATGCATAATCATGTAAGTCAAAAAAAAGAAATTCAAAATTGGAAATAACATGAATTCAAAATAGCATAAGCACTTACTTATGTAATAATATAAGCACTTATGTACAAGTGTAAAAAATATGTAAATAAATCTCATTCTAAAAGAAATATTTTTAAACTATTGCTCATATCTACTTATACTATAAACACTCAATCACAAAATAATTTTTCTAATTCTAAGTAATCAGCTTTATTTTACAGAATTTTTACCTATTCATATTTCGAACTTAAGTAGCTGATTTGGCTTTGCATAGGAAATTTATATTTAAGTTCTGTTCATAACAGTTACCAGAGAAATTATTTTTCTTCAAAAGCAAGCTTTTCATCAGATACCCAAATAATACCCAATTACCAAGATTAATAACAAGACTTCGGTATTAAATTTTCCGAAGAAAAATTTTAATTTTACTGAACTACAATAATTTTTAATTTTACCTACACTAATGAAAATTAGCATATTACTGGCCAAAGATAGATGCAAATTAATCTAAATTTTATTTACAATTTTTAAAAAATCGCAACAGTTATAAAAAAAAGCATATTACTGTCTAAAAGTCGGTATGTAATACGTCAAAAGAAATGAAACGATAAAACAATGGAGATATTTTTTCCCAAAGCAAACAAAATGAAGTTATAAAATCCTGAAAGAAGTGAGTTTCCACTCAATTGAGATTCGTAACACGATCTTGGATAATTTTTAAATCGAATTTATACCCAAAACAAATGGGAGTTTCTATCTTCTTTTTTTTCTTTTCTTCTTAGATCTGTTCTTCGTGCTCTTGTAGGTTAAGCTTTTTATCTCGCCTAACTAGGCTATGACCTTTCACTGATGGCCACTTTTATATGTTTAATACAAAAAATTTCGAATTTACCTTTGGATTTTTTGGTAGATAATATCAATTTTTAGAATAGTGTTTAATAGATTTAACAGCGTTTAAAGCGAAAACAATTTCTAAGTTTAAACTTAGAAATCATTACTTTTATAAGACACACCACACAGCAAAATTTTATAATTGTAAGATCTCGATATGAATTTCAATATGTAACTAAAACAGAATAGCTGAATTCCAGTAGAAATGTATCATTCAAAATTAAGAAATACTTATCAAGAAAACGATAAAAAATATATTAATAATCAGCACAAATGATATTATTTTAAGTAATTCGAATGATTTTTATTGTTGTTTTCCGACTTATATTGATACAGAAATATGTACTATTCGATAAGGAAGAAGAATATTCTATAACTATTACAGTTCTACACGTTCGGAAATCACATTTATTCATTGGAATGAAGTAAGCAATGTTGATTTCACTTTAATTTGTAATGAATTGAAGACGGAAAAAATGTATTTTACCGTAATACACACATCTGTAACAGTATGCAATCATGAAATCGGAAGTTATCGGTTGCAGGTTTGTTGATAATAGAAAGGTAAAAATTATTGAGAAATTGTTTCAGAAAGATTTACCAATGTTCTGGGTCGTTTTTTTAAGTTCTTCTGTCTTTTCCTTAGCGAAATTTTGCTTCTTATTTGCTACTAAAAGTATGTCATCCAACTCTGCCATTGATTTTGATACTTAAACTCAATAAATAAAAGCCTGAAAATATATTCTCCGCTAGAGGGTGTATTCAAGTGTTGCGATCGCGAATTGTTTTCAATATAAATATTTTTGTTTCCCTAATTTATTAATCAATACATTATCGGTGCATTGGCGGCTGTTGCTCCTTGCGTTGGTACAGTTCGATTTTACCACAGCCTTCTCTACTAGCGTAAGAGTACATCATTCTTTCCACCTAATTCAAAGATATTTACCTGTATTGTTATTATAACGTTTTTAATTTTGTTTGTTTCCTAAATTAAGAGGATTGTTTTCATTTTTATAATTAGAATAATGTAATTCTGCATTACATTTTAAGATAAAGTTATTTAAATCGGTAGTTTATAATTATTATTTATTATTTTTTGGTGCAAATGACATTAATAAAACGGTTAAAGAGATTCGTTAAATGATTTACACTTCAGATTCATCCTCAAACTGATGAATGCAAAAGTTGTATTTAAAATACATCCGTCTGTTCGGTAAGTAAAAATATTAAATTACACTTGTGAACTCCCCAAATTTTCTATTACTATATACTATTAGTTTTTTAAATACAATTTCAAAATATGATTACATAAGAAAATAATTTTTGCTCACTTGTAGATCTTAATAGTATCAGAAGGAAACTATTTGGATGTGGAGAGTGGAGGCACAAGTGTTCTTTTTATACATTTTATGGTACATATATTTTTTGTTGAATAATTGGATGATTCCTAGAATAGCCCACTCCTTGGCGATTTTTTTAAAATCTCGCCAAGCAAGTTTTGTAAATAACCTAAGCAAGTTTTGAAACCTAGTTTACCCAAACTAGGATATTTCGGACAGATTATTTTGACCACACGATCACACCACCTAAATTCTTAAACCTGATTGGTTATTTGATGTGTATATCTACGTGAATATTGGATCTCGTTAGAAAAGAGGTAAAAGAATTTATTTTTTCGCCATTTGTGCCCTTACTGTTAGAATCATCGTTATTATTTAATATTTTAACCGTTATTATTTCTTTTCTTTTTTTTGTGCGGTACCGGTTGAAAATGGCGAGCGAATGAACGATTACATTTTCAACTTTATTGAATGCAAAAGGTAAGAGAGCGATGATTGAATGGTGTATGAATCAAAAGTTAATTTCGAAAACGTATGAATTCCTTAAACAGGGAGAATAAATGAGTTTGATTTTTTATTCTATTAAAAGTATTTTAATAAATTTGTAATCATTTAAATGGCTTTTTTTGTTTTTTTAGTAATCAGAAAGCAACGTTGATGCTAGTAATAATCACCAACATGGCGAGATTTCAAAAAGTCGCCAAAAGTGGGCTATTCTAGGATTTTACCGATTCATTTCAACTGTTTTATGCCAATAAATAGCAATGATTTCGAAGCACTCACCGGGGTTGGTGAGCGTCATTGAACAAGGGGCTTGCCCCCCCCCCAATGTACAGCATAAAATACGCAAAGCATTATGTCTACCCACTTCAAATTAAAAGTTTTATATCTTAATAATTATTTTTTAGAAAATATCTGATTATATTCAAATAGCTGTTTAATGACTTTAAATTCTGATTCAACGAATCGAATCGGATGTTACATTCGCTTCATAATGAATGAAATGTTATTTTTTGAGCCTTTTCTTCCAGTGCTCTTTTATCCGCTATATCAATATAGCACTGCACATCGTTAGTTGCTTTTCTGTGTTCCACAATGGGCTGGTCTTTCTTCTCAAGGTCACTCTCTTCACGAAAGTGGCCTCAAGATGAAGTGACCCAAAGAAAACCGTCCCGAAGTAAAGCAATCCTGTAGGTGTCTGGAGAAGACGATAATCGATAAAAAGGACGCAGACGATGGATATTTTTTCTGAGCCATTGGGTCCACACACACCATCCATATGTCAGTGGCGTTGTCTCAGGGCGTTTCCCCCCTCCCTCATCCTCCTGCATGAAATATTAAAGGACCTCATAAAGACGTGGGAGGACAAATTCTGGACTAGAGAATGATGGTATTACAAGATATGCCATCTTCCAATTTTTATTCTCCCAGAAGAAGTCAACACAACCATTTATCAAGTTGTGAACTAAAGTATTGAATAATTAAGCTGAATAATTCGATAAGTTGTCTTAAAAGAGATTTTCTATCCGTGCTAAAAGTTCTTTTTCGTGTTTATTTAAAAATGGATAGTGATTTAATGGCACAAAGGTTGTTTCTTGAGTACGTTAAGACAAATATATGTTTTATATAACTACTTTTTTATGAAAAATGCATGTTGAAACTGGGTTTTAAATATGTAATATACAACAATTTATCAAGTTGCTATATAGAGTCTTGAATAATGAGGAGAAATAATTCAATAAATTATCGAAAGGGATTTCCAAACTTTGTAAAAGATTTTTTGTGCTTATTTATAAGTGGGAAAAGATTTAACGACATCAAGGTTTTTTCTTCTTTCTGTTAAAACGTTTCATAAAACTTTTAACAAAAATTATTGCACTTAAATTCGGTTTGAAATTTCACGTAAAACGCAAACTACGGAGGAGAAAAAAAATTATGACACAAAAAATGTTCATGTATTGTAAAAGATTGAGGAAAGTGATTTTATTTTTGTAGAAAACAAATTTAATAACAGCACTAGTTTAG